GATCAAGAAGAACAACAAGAAGAAGTATTTGAAGGTTATGAAATCAGACTAGTAAATTTCTATTTTTTATTTCCATCGCTTTTATAATTTCCAATCCTTACTAATATCTTTTATTCTGCAATAGTTTTCAATTAAACAGAATCACAATAGATATGTGGAATAGGCCTACTGGGGAAACCACGTTAAAAAAGACGCGCTAAGTACACTACCTCGCAGAGGTGGCGTGGAAACGTATGCATATTATGACGATTATCACTCTTTGACTCGTTATATCTTAGAAACAGTGGCTCTAAGGAAAAAAAGTACTGATATATGTTTCATAGAGAATTTTATGGTCTATAATTTTTGTCTGAAATACTTTTATAATAAAACTTACCGTTTTGCTGAAAATCGCAAAAAAAAAATTCCAGATTTTTGACCTCGCATAATTTTTTTCCAGGCACCGGAATGATTCGGAATTTTAAAATTATATTTTTAATTAAGTTTTAAACAATTACAAGCATTTTCAGCTTGTTGTAAATTTATGTACCTTCGAATGTCTAGATTGACCGGAATAAATGTCATTCGTATACAGGTGTCTACTGCTTATTGATATCTGACAAGGAATCTGACATACTTTTACTATATTTATATTATAAGTCGTTTATCTATGACAATATTATTTTTTTATAATTTTGGTATTCTGTGCTTGGTTTTATCCAATAAATTTTGAGTTTTTAAACAATATAGTTTGTTGCTTTCGGTTTTGGAAATATCTTTCCAAAAATTATTAATATATTAAAAAAATTAATTAAAAATATGTTCTAACGATTTGATACCTTATACCGAAACTTATATTTTCCCAACATATAATAATACAAATATTAAATTATTTTTTTAATGTAGCGATATTTTAAAAATAATTAAAATATTCTTTAAAAATATGTTCCAACATAAAAAGTGTAACATATTTTCATCTTAGAAATCGTGCCGGAGTAAGCGTGACGATATTATAAATTCTAACGCTCTAGTCTTGGATGACGTACCTATCTTCATTTAAAGAAACTTATACGATATATTTTCTCTATTTACACATTTCAAAGACGTTTAATTTACACAATAAATTAAATGAATTTTACATACTTTAGGTACTTAAATATTAAATTTATAATAGCTATGTGAAAAGTTAAGAAACACAACAATTATTAGTAACTATAATTTTTATTGTTGTCGATCCAATAATATATAATGTGTTCTTTTTTTATAAATTGGATTAGGATCGAAAGAAATCAACAGAAGTCCTTTGTTTTAAATTTGTCGACGTTTCGCAAAATTTATTTGCATCTTCAGGACACTACAAAGTTAAGAGAGCAGAAAATACAATGAAATAAAAGTTTTTTTTTTTTTCAAAAATTTTAACAAACCACCCAAAACACATATCAGTGGAATTCCACACATATACAATTGGTAAAACTACCCTAATGTTAACAATTAAATAAAATATATATATATATGTTACTCACATTTAAATCTGGACTTTCTTAGTCATATCCATTAATACACGGATGGTATAGAGGGGAGTGGTATATATCCCTTTTTTCCTTTTAAAACACATAACACACTTACATAAAAAAAAACATATAACACAATTATGTATAGAGAAATATCACGAAAATCTTTTCCTTTCACAGACAAGCAGTGCAGATGTACCTACGTTGACCGTATACAGAGAGCAACTAATTCTAGTTGATAAAATACTAATATAATTTTTACCTGGAGATAAAGAACAGTTGAAAAAAGAAACATATAAAAATATTATTTGGATTTAAACCATTATTTTGAAGTTATATTATTTAATTTTTGAAAGAATATTAAAATATGCTGTACTCAGGTTTTCTACGTCTGTTCTTTTATTAACGCAATTTTTGTTTTTTTGGATTTCTATCATCTCTGCAAATAATCTTTTCTTATAATTAGATTGTGTTTGTAAAATAGTGGTATTGTCAAAATCGAAGTTATGGCCTGTCTCTATTTTGTGTTCTACTAATGCGGTAGGATTAGATTTCAAAAGAAAGTTCCTTTGATCATTTTTATGTTCATTCAATCTTTGTTTTAAATATCTACCGGTCTGCCCAACATAGCTTTTAGGACATTGAGTACAAGGAATGTTATTATTATGCCGGATTTCAGTTCTTTTTTATTCTTTGATTTTGTTTTTGAAAAGAACCGTCTCTTTATGGTGTTATGACTCCTTGTTGTAATTTTTATTTTTTCCTGTTTTTTTGTAGTATGACCCTTAAATGTGTTTTTAATTTGTTCTGACAGACAGTCGATATAAGGTATTTTACAATAAACTTCTCTATCATTTTGGTTAGTAGATTTTACAACGGTTTTCTTGTTAAGAATTTTTTTAATCATAGATATTGGATAATTATTTTTAATCAACATGCTTTCGATATATTTTAAATTTTTATTATGAAAATTAATTGATGATAGTGATGTAGCTCTGATTTTCAGGTTATTAATAACATTAATTTTTTGTTTCAAAGAATGTTCGGAGGAATAATTGAGAAATCTCTCAGAGAATGTCGGCTTGTGATACCAATCTGTCTCTATTAATTGATTGTGTCTAATTAGTCTCACGTCAAGGAATGCTATGCTGTTGTTTATTTCTTTCTCCAATGTAAATTGTAGTTTAGGGTGATAACAATTAAATATGTCTAATATACTTTGTTCTTGATTAATAGGAATTGAAGTTATAATATCATCAACATAACGTTTAAAAAACGGCAATTGAAAAGGAAGTTTTTTAATACATTGATCCTGTAAATCCTGCATAACTAAATCAGAACAAATCGGTGATAAACAATTACCCATTCCCAGTCCATATATCTGTTGATAAAACTCATCTTGGTATTGAAAGTAGTTGTTATCAAAAATAAATGTTAACAGTTCAACAAATCTATGTAAGGGAATTTTTATTTCATTTTCTATAAGATGCCATTTCTTATTAACTATATTAATTACTATATCTGTAGGAATGTTAGTAAAAAGTGATATAACGTCCAAAGATATGAGTTGATAATCTTTAGGTAATTTAATGCTTTTTATATCATTAACAAATTCAAATGAATTTCGGACATAACTGTCGTTCTTGACAAACATACCATTTAAAAGAGATGCTAAAAAACCTGTCAGAGAGTACAGAGGTGATCCCACAAACGATACTATGGGTCTGAAAGGTCGATTATTTTTATGTATTTTTGGCTGAAAATAAATCTTCGGTGGATTAGCAGCACCAGTTTTTAATTTCTTACCTTGCTCGTTGTCAATAAAATTAGGACTGTCTGTCAGAACAAATTAAAAACACATTTAAGGGTCATACTACAAAAAAACAGGAAAAAATAAAAATTACAACAAGGAGTCATAACACCATAAAGAGACGGTTCTTTTCAAAAACAAAATCAAAGAATAAAAAAGAACTGAAATCCGGCATAATATATAACATTCCTTGTACTCAATGTCCTAAAAGCTATGTTGGGCAGACCGGTAGATATTTAAAACAAAGATTGAATGAACATAAAAATGATCAAAGGAACTTTCTTTTGAAATCTAATCCTACCGCATTAGTAGAACACAAAATAGAGACAGGCCATAACTTCGATTTTGACAATACCACTATTTTACAAACACAATCTAATTATAAGAAAAGATTATTTGCAGAGATGATAGAAATCCAAAAAAACAAAAATTGCGTTAATAAAAGAACAGACGTAGAAAACCTGAGTACAGCATATTTTAATATTCTTTCAAGAATTAAATAATATAACTTCAAAATAATGGTTTAAATCCAAATAATATTTTTATATGTTTCTTTTTTCAACTGTTCTTTATCTCCAGGTAAAAATTATATTGGTATTTTATCAACTAGAATTAGTTGCTCTCTGTATACGGTCAACGTAGGTACATCTGCACTGCTTGTCTGTGAAAGAAAAAGATTTTTCGTGATATTTCTCTATACATAATTGTGTTATATGTTTTTTTTTTGTAAGTGTGTTATGTGTGTTTTAAAAGGAAAAAAGGGATATATACCACTCCCCTCTATACCATCCGTGTATTAATGGATATGACTAAGAAAGTCCAGATTTAAATGTGAGTAACATATACATATATTTTATTTAATTGTTAACATTAGGGTAGTTTTACCAATTGTATATGTGTGGAATTCCACTGATATGTGTTTTGGGTGGTTTGTTAAAATTTTTGAAAAAAAAAAACTTTTATTTGATTGTATTTTCTGCTCTCTTAACTTTGTAGTGTCCTGAAGATGCAAATAAATTTTGCGAAACGTCGACAAATTTAAAACAAAGGACTTCTGTTGATTTCTTTCGATCCTAATCCAATTTATAAAAAAAGAACACATTATATTATTAGTAACAATTGAATTAGAATTCACGCTTCAAACATAAAAAGATCCAACATGACAAACGGACATTTAAATAATACGGACTTTGAGTAAAATGTCTTGATACTGTTGTTTCTGGATTTTTGTTTAAGAAAGTTTATTTTTTTAAAAATCCTGCATATTCGTACCACAGTTCGTATCCTCTAATAACAGTTTTCTTAGTCACTTGTTAAATATATGTTAATGCATAAAACAACAAAAACCAATATCATTAGATGTTTAATTCAATAGCCTTTTACTCGAAACGAGATACCTTTACTTATGCTTGTTTTTAGTCACGAAAATCTGAGAGAAAGTAAAATCTCCAACGACTGTACGAACCATTTGACTATAATATACATATACATTTAATATTAAACGGTGTGAGTTAATTGCTTACTTTAATTGAATGAAAATGATAGAGTCATTTACTATTATATTATGAGTAAACAAAATCAAAATGTATTACTACAAATAGATAATATAAAATTAAAAACAATAATATTAAACTTTGCTTTATAAGGATCTCTTACTGATACAATAAAGTCTATTATAAGAAAATACATTGTAAACTTACCTCATTACAAATCTCCACTAATTTTACGAAGGTGTTTGTTTTACATATGCGTAAAATAATCCATCGATGACAAGAATCATGCTAATATATCCCACTGCTTATTTTTCGGTTGGCACTAACAATTGCACATTGATTTCTCTCAATTTCACTTTAACAGACCTTCGTTTACACGTTTTTTTTAAATCATAATTATATATGAATGATCTATGAGAAATCAAGCACTTGACACTCGCTCTTTCACTTACAACGAAGAATGGCGAAAACCTCGCTAAAAAAACAATGGAACAATCACGGTCACGGCCAACGCGGTGTTGCGCTTCTTCGATTCACCAAAAACCGAAAAAGCGGCGAAGGAAGAAAGTCGCGTGCGCTGTGTTAAGAGTTTATGCTATGATTAAAATCATGAATAAAATACTAAAAGAGATCGAGATTCGTGTCCATTCCATGCGACAGAACCTGTCGATGGCTGCGCGCTTAGGCTGCTTTCACTAACATAAGGATGATGCTCCTATCGCGCCCAGTCTCAGCGTCTCCTACCATGCCGATTCCGAGAATAGGCCGCTGAGTATTCGACTGGCTGAGAGGACGTACCCATTTCTTCAGGCATTTCCGAGATGGCCGAGTTTAACACCAGTGAAAACAACAGTTTAAGTCCACCTATGACGTGAACGGAATGAAGATTTTTATATTGGTGTTAACAAAAGCTAACTGCAAATTAGAAATTTCCAAATATTTACTCCATATTTTCATAAAAAGTAAGCGTTTATGAAAAAAATATAACACAGTCCGCACCTTTAACGAACTAAAATAGCTAATAGTACCTTAGAATGAATTCGAGATTAATTTAATTGTATAGTCTCATTATACAACTATAGCAAAAACTTAATTATAATATACGAGATTATTAATATTTAACACTTTCTTTTGGCCAGATAAGTTTATGCTATTAGAATGTTGAAATGAACAAGAATATTTTATTAATGTTAGAAGAGGGGTGAGTAATGTAGTTAGAGAGTTCAACCCTATATTAAGTAGGTATCTATTATAGTTCGAATTCTTTTATTGTTGAAATTGATTAAAAATTACAAGAATATTGGTCATAGTTCGTAAGCCCCAGAGATGGACAAACACTCGGTATACTGAAATTTGAGTAAATGCCCGATGGTTTGCACCCGGTGTATACCCATGGGGGAAATACAGAGTAAGTACATTGCATTTGAGTAAGTACTATAGACACAAGTATGTTTATTTTGCTAATTTAACATACTATAACAAATTTTAACTAAAATTGGTTATTAATTATCTTACCTAACAGAGACTGCACAATAGCCTAATTATTAGCATTAATTATATCGAAAATACAGCACAACGCTGACAGTTCAATTTAGGTTAGGTGAATAATTGAATTTTACTACTCCGACAAAATATAGAAGAATTTTAGAATAGTATCTAGTTACAAAAAAATTGTAAAAAAATTAAATGTTGATTATTTTGAATAAACTAAATAGGGTACCTTATCTATACAGGGTGCTACAAATTCGAGATACAAGCATTGGTATCTCGGAAACCGTAATAGATAGATACGAAGATGGTTAAATTGGGGCAAAGTTGCGTCTTGGGATGTTCACCAAGATGCCATCAAAAAAATCAAGGATTGCTTAGTTTTTCAAAAACGGATTTTTTGAAAATAAATTTTATTTTTTCCTGCCGTTACTTTTTAGAAAATCAAAAAACTCTCTGCACATTCTCGTAGCCTCTTTATTAGGGCTATCTGATAGTATTTATAGATTTTCAAATTAGCTGGTAATTTGTGAGATACAGAGGCCACCTAAACTTTCTTCGCTTTTGTCTCCTGAGTACAATGGGAAAACATAAAAAAGATTACATTTTCATTTACAAAGGAAAAAATAAAATTGATTTTAACACAAATAGTTTTTTCTAAAAAAGTCAGTAATCCTTGAAATTTTTAAAACTTTTGTGGTGGCATCAATCAGCTGGTGGGCAATCATATTTTCAGTGAACATCCCAAGGCGCAACTTTGCCTCAATTTAACCATCTTCGTATCTATTACAGTTTACGAGATACCAATGCTCGTACCTTGAATTTGTAGTATCCTGTATATGTTGTATGCCATACGCAAAGCTTATTCACCCATAAAAAAGTGCAAAAAATCACTGTTGACTAAACATGCAAGCTGGAATACCACCGAAATAGCAGCAGGTATGTTGTTTATATTAAAAAGGTAAATAAAACATTTAACTTTTATGGTAACTGTCCCAGTTATCGTCACATTAAGGGAATATATCAGTTCAGTTAGCTATAAAATCCGAATTATTAGTATAAAGCTTACAAGAAAATTAAATATGACACTAAGGGATATTTTTATTTAAAATTTAAATAAAACTTTAATAACTTGACCGATTTTTTCGTTTATTTTATTATATTATACTTCGGTAGAAAAACGGGATATTAAATAGTTCTATCTTAATGACTTAACAACTTAACTATCTGGTTACCAAGTTGTCTGTTACTAATACAGCAAATTGGAATGTAAATATATCTCTGACATAGAAAGAAAGTTCTAAAGTATGAATTAATATAATATTTTCTCAAATGCGTCATTAAACAACTTTAACACAAGGGATATTAATAAATATAGAGGAAAAGTCTGTACCTACTAGTTTCTTATAATTGAAGGGGTTAGAGCAAAAAGAGTATAAGTGACTTATTTATTTTTTTTTGAGATAAGTACAAATTCATCTAGCTAAATGAAATTTCTTTCAAAGCAAAACGGATATAAGCGCGATGGGCGATCGGGATTGCCATCTTTTGGTGAGATATAAAACCTTGTTAATCATTTGAACAAATCGGTCCCTGCAAAAGGGGTATAAGTGCACTTATACCGTTTTTGCACTAAACAAAATTTATTAGTGCCTCGCAAGTTTAAAACAGAAGAAAATGGCCAGTAACAGTAACAGAGACAACTCCAGTAATGAAGGTAAGAGAAAGCACAGGAACAGCAGTTAATTTTGAGGTTATAATTGGGGTATTTTTTAGATGATTATTTATCAGACGACCCATATCATACCGATGAAGATGAAGAGTTTCTTCCAAATATAACCTCATTATCTGAAAACTCATCAGAAAATTCAGAACAATCAGAAACTGATACTCAACATGTTCATAATATTCATGTTACTCCGAAAAGAACAAGAAAAAGAAAAATATGCATGCCTGAATGGAATAGAAATAATAAGAAGAAGCTTAGAACCGAGGGAAAATGTTACATAGGATACAGGGGGGTAGAACACCCAGAAAAGCAGTTACAAGTATTTAATCATACATGCAGGTATAAATGCAACGAAAATATTTCTCAAGCCAATAGGCAGGCACTATTTGAAAAATTTTATAAATTACCTAGTTACGACTTACAAACAGCCTATTTATCATCCTGTATAATAAAAAACAAACCAAAAAGGCAAAAATCTAATAGACCACGAAATTTCTCTACAAAAATAATGCTGCTAAACAAGCGTGTTTGTAAATAATTTTTTTTTAAAACTTTTGACATAAGCAATTAAGCGTTTTACCGTGGTGTGTAAAAAAACTGATGCTCTAGGTATTTGTGAGGTTGATCAGCGAGGAAAACAGCCAAGTATTAATAAAATTGACCAAGACACTAGAGATTTTGTTATTCAACATATAAAGCTGTTTCCAAGATACAGAAGCCACTATTCGCGAAAAGATAATAGCAATACTAGATACTTATGCCCTGAGCTAAATATAACAAAACTTTACTCTTTATATAAAGAACACTGTGTCGAAAATAATAAAGTCCCTGGTAAGTTTTCTTACTATCGCAGAATTTTTAATACAGAGTTTTCTACGTTTTCACAAACCTCACACTGATACTTGCTCAAGGTGCGATAGCTTGCAAAATATTATTAAACATTCAGCCAATAAAGCGAGTGTTAATTCAGCTAAGATAGCTTTAGAAATCCACCAAAGAAAAGCCAGAAAGCAACTGAAGCAAAAGATTTAGACGTTACAATGGACAAGAACATGACAGATACTACTGTAATATGTTTTGATTTACAACAAACATTACCTACTCCGTTATTAACAACATCAAAGGTATTTGCATCCATAATTTGATTACTGGTGAAGCTTACATGTACACTTGGGATGAAACTGTAGCAGGTCGAGGATCAGAAGAAATTGGTTCCTGTTTAATACACTTTATTAAGTTATTGCTCCCCAATGTTACCAAACTGATAGCATATAGTGACTCATGTGGCGGACAAAATAAAAATAAACACATTTGCAAATTATTTATGTTTCTAACAAAAGCTACTCATCTAGAAGAAATCCATCATAAATTTTTAGAACCTGGCCATACGTACATGGAATGTGACAGAAACTTTGCCTTAATCGAGAAAAATAAAAAAAAGAATCCGCAAGTGTATATTCCTGATCATTGGAGGACAGTGATTGCTCGTTCCTCAAAGAAATTTATCGTCTGTAATATGACTCAGGAAATGTTTTACTCTTTCAAAAACTTAAACAATCTCATAAAAGATTTTAAAAAAGACTCTGAAGGAAAGCCACTTAAATTTAGAGAAATTGCTTATTTTAAATATGGCAAATATATGGAAACATTTTCATTTGAGTTTAAACATACTCTAAATGATTTGTTTCCATTTTTAAAATATTCTTGCGGATTACATTCCACTGGACGTCCATCGTTTTCCCTAGAATCAACACTTCAACAATCTAACAAAGCCTCAATGCCTATTAAACTTGAAAAATGGAATAATCTCCAGAGCCTTCTGGAGTACATTCCACCTATTTATCATGCTTTTTACACAAACATGATCCACCAAAAATCTAAAGGAAAGAAAACAGAAAAGGCCAAAACAACAACTGCTAAACCAGAACCAGGACCCAGTACTACTAACAACAATGAAGCAAATGTAGAATCGGATGATGGAAAAGACCTTGATGATCATGACCTTGATTCAGATTATGAATAATAAATTGTTTCCCTTTAATAAAAATGTTTACTTTAAAATCAAATTAGTTTTATTTGATCGACTTCAACAAAATAACTATTTCAGTCTGTGCAAAAAGGGTATAAGTACATCAAATTCAAAATTTTGTCTAAACCAATTTTTATTTCAAAATTTTACTTTATTGATTGGATTTGTACTTCTTTTTGTTAGTCACACGCTTTAACAACAAAAATATTTTTATTTCGTAGAATTTTCAAAAAGCAAGTGACTTTAAACTCTGATTACTCAAAATTATATATTCTGCACTTATACCCTTTTTGCTCTAACCCCTTCAATTCATTGTTGTAGATAAATTAAACACTGGGTATTATTAAAATGATGCAGGTGCCTATTTCTTAGGTGTTTCTTACTGTTAGGTATTGAAATCACTCTGCTTTTTTAATTGTTAGTGCTAATGTTAAGTA